CTTATCTAATTTTATTCATAGATATGTACTAAATACTTTTATTTAAAAAATTATAATTAAACGTTACATATATGTTGAACTAATTATAATAAATAGTTACATTATGAACGAATAACTATTAAGAGCACATACGAGTTTGTCATTGTGTATCACTATAAATAAAGTCTGATTCTTGAATACCAAACCATTTTTACATGTATTTTTATGAGTATTGTATTTGCACAATGTATTGCACGATGATATTTTTCCCGCAGCAAGATTCAAGGCGTCAATAACCACGTGATCACTTCTCCTAACCTTTCCTTCTCCTCACCAACGTCAATTAGAAAAGGAAGTGCCACTGCAAGCATATCTTCCGTCCTTTACATCTCCGCGAAAGATCTCCAATGGGAATGCGCAGTCTATTATATACGTCTATGGTGCATAAGCATATGCATATATGTACACTATAAGAAAATGGATTGGTCCATTTCCTTATGCACATGTATAAACAATCAATTATTTTATGCTTATATTTATGCACTATATAAGTTTGTCTGGATAGAACAATCTCAACTCACGTAAACGAAAGAGAGACATACCAGACGCTAATAAAGGCCCCTTATTACCTCTTTCTTTTCCGCCGGATGACGTAATCAGGTAAGCATGAAGAAAATTCTGTTCTCTCGATATCTGAATGTCGTAGTCGTAAAAGGGGCAATCGGACCAAATGGACACAACTGATCGCGATAGAATTTGTTCTCTCAATTGACTGTAGGATTATTTTATAGTTTTATAGTATATATTTAGCGATGTTTTTCGAATCGAATAACCGTTCGATTCCTTTAAACCTACGGATCCGTGTCAAGTACCTGTGTTTCTACAATCAAATTCAATGTCCAGCTTAATTGAAATTTTGCGAAAGAGATCAAAAGACATTGATTCTTCGCGCACATACCTCGCGTATATGTATATTGCCGTTACGACTACCGAATCGGAGAATATTGCAATCGCTCGATAATATTCGCCATTACGAATGCTATCGTGAAACTATGCGGTCCACTTGAAGCTACAAATGCTTCGAAGCATTTTTCTTCTCCTTTTCTTTCAATGAAAAAAGAAGGAGAAGAAGAACGCTTCTAAATATAAGTAACTTCAAGTGGACCGCAGCCTTCGATAGCGATTTAAAAAAGAATAAGTGTAAAATAATTTTTTTTACTGCTTATTCAGTTGGAATTTTATTTGCACGAAGAAACGGAATGTAAGGATACAGTGGAATATATGGATAACAGATTAAACAATTTATGCTATATGTGATACGTTAATGTCAGGAATAGAAAAAATTTATACCGCACTAAAATAATAGGCCTGTTTGTTTTAGCTGAACTTCTTGCACAGTTTATCTTTTATTCTTTTTCTCTCCAATGTGAAAAGAAAAAGAAGAAAGATGAACCGTGCAACAAGTTCAGTAAAACGAACAGGCCTAATGTATGAAATTTATTCATATATATAGATACTGCATTAAATTTGCATTATTATACGAATTAAATAAAAAATTTCAATTACATTTTTATGATAAATACATATATTATGTATATATTATTAAATTGTATTAAATATAGCAGGTATCTATTTTTTTTCTTTCAAAGAATCATGCTGTATAATTTATAGATTTGCACTTTTATTTGTTTCATTGTTGACACCGGATAGTTGCATTTTTATATAAGTTGAAATATCAGAATACTAAACAATAACTGTGAAATTAATTAGTTACATTATTGAAACATTTCGCTAGAGACTTCGTTGCCTGGGAGTATCACATTCAAATTAGCATCGAGTTTTCGGTCGTTGCCGGCAATATCGGAAATTCTGCACGATGTATCCACGTGACAGGATTCTAAACAAAACAATTTTCATATACATATTTCAACATATATACATACATATATATATATATATATATATATATATATATATATATATATATGAATTTTTCAGCACTATGTAATTGGTGGCTACTAATTTCTAATTGCGAATTAATTATTTTAATTATTGCTATATTAATCTTCGTATTATATAAACAAAGTTTCGTATTATTTATCTAATCAATTTCCATTGTGAGCTTCTAATGCAAACTCAATTAATTGTAATATTGTAAACTCAATTTATTATGGATATAAATTTTGTTTAAAAAAATGAAATTAAAAAAATGCAATGTACAGAAATTTTTTAATTTACTCCACCTTGCGAGCAGCAAATCCCGTTTGAAGCGCATCTTGCTGTATTTCCACGACACATCGCGTATCCAGCGACGCAGGGCCTTGTATATAGACTTTCCTTTCTGCATCGATATGTTTCTGGTGTTCCTACGAAGCAACCGATACTAGGGCCACAGCAGATATGGGGCCCAAAGCATTGGCCTAGATGATTGGGACCACACGAAGGACACTGGCAGAAGAATATTGTAATGATTCAATTTTGCACAAAATGGCATATTTTGTGTATTTATGTATAAATAAATATGAAGATATTAATAGATGTTTATGCGAATAAATATTTTGTTAGGAAATAAATAGAAAATTTTGAGATTTGGACATCAAGATTATATATTTTATCATATGTAAAAAATTACTTTTTGTCCCATTTTTTGTTTCTTTTACTATACATTGGATTTATATGAACATCTTTAGTCTAATTATTAAATAAATATAAGATATAAACAATGGTTAATCATCAATTAAGATAGATTATTCTCCTGAGATTTAACTTTAATCATATTTGCTTATTATGCTATGAACTCTTTATTGATCATTCTTAAGTTTTCTTAATAAAGATTGGCAAAATTTTACCAGCACATATTGAAACTAGATATAATTCTAGGACAATTAACAACTATCAATGTAAATAGAAAAGAGTAATATTCAAATAACAGAAAAGAACAGCATCCAACATAAATTCGAATTATTTATTTTAATTACACGTTTAATAGAATAAATATAAGAATTTGCTAGTCTTTATAAAATCAAACTTGTCTGCAAAAAAATGGCTAAATCAAACAAATTTTACTACAAAATGATATATAATATAAAAGATAACGTACTTCCCGTGCAACAGTTCCCAAAGAAGACGTGACATCACCCCTCTTTCCTCCACGAGGACAATTCGTAATCAAACAAGCATAACTTAGAAAAATCAAACTTGCAAGAACGACGAGCTGCTTTAGCATTTTGAATAGATTTTGGCGATGTTACACGAGATGATACACGGACGATCGAAAAAACACTACTGTACCTCGAGGAGTACCGTCGGCTATTTATATCATTGAATCTCAGCACTTAAAATTCCTTCTGAGTATTCGGGAATATTTCCATTCGCAATTCAGCACTCTAAAGATTATAGAAATCCGATCTCTATGTGAGAATAAACGCATAATAAGACGTTATTCTTCCATTCATTGTTGCAGAAGCCACCTTCTAGCTTTCTTTACTATAAATAAATACTAAATGACATTTTAAAAAGATATAAAGAAAAAGAAAAAATACCTTAACAAATTTTTAAATAATATAAATATAATAATATTTACACCAACTGTATTTACATATAGTTATACACTTACTCTGTAACATTATATAAACACATTTACATTAACTTCTTTATTTTACTCTCGTTGGGATTTTTTATTTTTTAAGTTCTTATTCTTTTTTAGTTTTAAGTTTTCCTTTTTATTAACTATGACAGCTTTTTCTTTAACAACTTCCTTCGAATGTCCAACTTTGCTTTTCTTAATTAAAGTTGCCTTTAATTTTAATTCACTGTCTGCTTTACGTTTCTTTATATCTGTCTCAATTGTGATTTCAGTAGAAAGTAAATTAGGACATTCTTTTCTAGTATGACCTAAATAAATAAATTAATAAAATGTTATTAATGGAAATTAATAATAATTAGAAGTATTAGATGAAGTATTAGTAATCATGCTGGTATTTACCTGATTTATCACAATTAAAACATCTTCCTACAATATTCGGTATTGGACCGCACGTATGTTTCTCTAACATACATCTTTTGCAAATTCGACAATGTTCCCAAGTAGGCTTTACACATCGTTTGCATATATCACAATGTTTGTACGTTTGACCATCTTTGGAAGTGCATTCTTTACACTTCTTGCAATGTTTGTTCTCACTAGAAACCCACTTTTCACAATCTCGACAAAATTTATATCCATCCAATAAAGGAAGCTCTAGTAGATTCAACGGTACATTCGTAAAAATTCTCACTGGAGAACCATGCTTTCTACCATGCTTTTCTGATATAAATAAGGGATGATTATCATAATCCACTTTATAATCAGACATTTTCAATTCTTTCAAGCCACCAGTCACACGTGACGGATTGCTCTTTTCTCTCATTATATGCTCCATAAAATATGGAAATATAAACATAATTTTCAAGAAAAAATTATCATTATGAACATGTTTATTTAATGTTCTGTGCAGGTCGGATATCGTTTTTATCGTGTACGATATGGGTTCCAAACGGCCACCAAACGGAGGGTCGCATATTAAGTAAGTATCCTTTCCCTCATTTTGAGTAAGAAAATCTTTGAACACGTTAACAGCATCTTTGTTAAAAAAATGATGATTGAAAAGGTTGTACCAGCAATAATCCAGCGGTCCAAAAAAGTTATGCTGGAATTACATGTAAAAAAATATTCATTAAAATATATTTATAAAAATTATTAAAATATATTATAAATTGATGTAATAATTAATAATTCCCGCTAAGAATACTTACAAATCTTCCATCAAAGTCTAAAAGGAGAGAAGACATTTTATCTGCGTGATGTTCGATTATATATTCATGTATTTTCGGTGCGCCAATACAAAGGATCTGCTTAGCTCCAAGTTTCAAAAGCATATTTATTATATCTTCTGTAGATTTCTTAGAAAATAAATATTGCGCTTCCTTCTTCGCATTCTCTAAAGGTTTTAAAAGCTCTGATGGATGACGCATTTGATAATCAGTTAAATTCTCTGTAATCTTATGGCCCATGTGCTTATCTTTTTCAGAATTAAACATTAATTTCTCACAATTATGGCAATAACATCTTTTTGCCACAGGTGCTGTGCTGAGTTTGTTAAAACGAATGTATAGTTCTCGATGAACATAACGCTGAGTAAACTTCTTATTTTCCAGCTCCCACATACGCTTTTGAGATTTTGACAGTTCCTGCTCATATTCTAAATAGAATCTGCATAATTTTCTGTCACGACAAGCGGAACACGCGTAAAATCTCTTTACTCCATCCTTGACATATCTTTCAAATAGTAATGCTGGTCCTGTCGAAGAAAAAAAAATTAATTTTCTTATAATAAATATAATAAACTTTAATGTGTATACGTGTGAAAATTACCATGAGGACATTGCGGATGTTTTATGGGATTTTCCCACACAAATTCTACACCACGTGTGTCGTTCATTCCCGTCACGTTGTCACGTAAACAATGTACAGACTGATGAGTCTGGTTCTAGTTGTGCATATTAGAGACCCTCTAAGTGCATATATATTAGATGGTAAACCAGACAAACGCGACATTTCTTACCGCTTGAGCCAAGCGATTTGGCGCCAAATATGATTGTCTTTTTAAATTCCATTGACTAAACTGAAACAAGTTATTATAAATAAATATTATTAATTGTGCACTACAAACGAAGAAAAAGATATCAGTTGACTTAAACACATCATAGAAATGGACTCTTGAAATATTTTAAATAACTTCAACAATAGTTTGCTTGGGAAACTTTGGAAGATGAATTGAAGAAATTTAATTACGACTCACAAGTCAAAAATGCGTTTTATTATTATTTGTTTTACAAGTGCTGTGAACGTTTACTGTTTGGTGTATACCGCAAATTTTCTTATTATTACAATTTTCCGGAAACACAATAGCAGATACATGTAAGGAGCATGTCAAGCCTCTATAGTCTTTACGTATGATTTTATACGACCGATATTTTTATTTTGCAAAAAATAGGTAAATTAAGAAATAATTTATAATAATAAATTTGTAATAATGATACATATGCGTATACAATTGTATGTGTAATGTATGTATTAAATTTTTACCTGAAGCTCGAAGGAAAAAATCAAAAAATTATTCTTAAAAAAGATAAAAAGAGAGAACAATTTAAATTAATATTAGCGATCTAATTTCGCATGAAATAAATTTTTTGTTAATTTACCTATTTTTTGCAGGTCATTCGTAATACTGCAGCTAGATGCAATAGCACACATCACACAGGTTTGATAATAAAGTTGCGCTGAACCTTACATTGCATTCATTAAACAAAATTAAAATTCAAGGTATCTCTAAAGTAATTCTGTTTTAAGTTGAGAGTAGAGCAAGCAAATATAAAATAAGAGCTTGCATTAATTAAACCAAAATTAAAATCTTTTAAGAATGCGTAAACAGCCTAGTTTCATTCTTATCCTAAAGCGTTGCAAATATCTTTTAGAATGCACGCTTTCCAAACTCTGCTCGTGAGTTTAATCTGTGTGCATTCTGTAAAATTGTATCACAGACTATTTTGCTGACAGTAAAAAGAATATTCGCTAAAAATACGAGCTTAGGATTGCTATAATATGTCGATGTGTTTCCAAAGCGTTTTCAACGGGGAATGGAAACCACCGAAATGAGAATTATTTACATCAGTGGGCAATGTAAAGTCATGTTATAGTTCCCTATAATAAATATAATATTTTTCCTTGTGCCTATAATCCTCCTACATCATTGATTTACACATAGACGAAGGAGAATGTATTCTGCAGTTACGTAAGCATATACTCGATATAATACTGCAATTGCTGGCTTTTGAAATACTTGTATACTAAGTTTGTAACAACTGTTAAAGCATCTAAAATTATAACACTGATACAAACGCGATCTCAATACATGAACTTACTACTCAGTTCTGCTGTTGCACGTTTAAATTATATCAACTATATTGTGTATATACCACATTTATAAATTCATAACTTAATCAATTTTTTTTTATGTAACGAGTCTTCAATTTTTCTATTTGTATTTTTTTTATTGACTTTAAAAGTTATATTATTATATTCAATTCTAAAAAAATTCTAACACATATTTCTCGAAAAGCTAACAAGAATAGAATAGTCATGTATCATATTTGTTCTGTGTTTGGTAACCATGTATCTCAAACTCATATCTTTATCACTAACCCCATACGTTATATATACGTTTTATTAAACTATATTTAAATAATTCCTTTGTATTTACATAATTGACTATGAAGCTTATTCTCTCCCTGATTTTCCATATAAATAAATCGTCTCATCTGCATTTTACGTTATTTATTTTATGTAGTTTGATATAAAAGAATTATCTACGTATATTAAATAAATATAACATATTTCTGTTAAAAAAAATGAAATCTTGATACTACTACAAGGCAAGACTTAATGATGCAATAAGAATAAAATGTTTAATCCTGTTATAAAATATTTATGTATCAATATCTGTTTTGATACCGATTGGTCGCATTAAATACATTTGTTTCAAAAAATTGTCATTAACAATAAAAATACGTTCCAAAAATTTAGCAGATGTATAATAAATTTTACACATATAGATGTTGGGTTGTCAAGAAAATGGTTCTAAAAGAACAGCACAATTCTATAGCAATACCAAAATTCTTCAGTTCGTTTGTCAATTATTGTTTGTATTCAGTATTTGTTAACTCGTCAAATTATGATTACGAATAAATATTGACCACATTGTACTCTGTGTTAGTCATAGTTTGTTTGTCACAACATGCAGTTTTCTTTCCTACAGTGAATTGTTTCGTATGTTTCACATCAATAATGTTATATTTGTGAAATGTGAAAATATATGAAAATAGGTGCAGTGAGATCGATTTATAAGATTTTCTACAAAACGTGATCAAAATTTGCTACTTCCTACGTGATATTTTTTCATATTAAATTATGCAATCTATATATAATAAAACTGTCTATAATACAACGCTTCAATACTTTATTCCTTCTTTTAAGGGTGCGTAAGAGTATTTGCATCGCTGACATACTGAATTCGTAAATATTTTAATATTCACGAACACACAATCATTAATAAGCTCTAAAAATTGATATTTAATGATGAATCGCGTTCAGAAAGCTGGTCATTTAGGTAAAGTTTACAAAGCAATAAGTTTAGATTGACAAGAGGCCCATCTTTCTTGAAGTTTCCGGCGCTCTTCCATATGGTGTTCTGACAAATTTCGCATTATATGACCTGTCTTCAGTTTTCTGGGATCTAAATTAGCTCCTAACGTTTGAACACCTTTTGCAAATTTTGAGAACGGCAACAATATATCTTTGGCTGTAGATGCTACTGGACTAGTAACGCTCGTGATATTTTCCTTTATGGATTTTAAGGCAGATTCGCTCTGGGACGACGTAATGCTCAACGTCAAATCATGTTCGGAGGCTGATCTTTTCTTGTCATCTAATCTACCATCCGTTTGAAGAGTAGTGCTCTTAATACCAGCTGATAACGCTTTATTATCAACGTCCCCCGTCGAATGACTGATATTCTTAGAAAGCGTTAAGCTTGACATTCGAATGGTTCGATCTCTTTCCTCGCCTATGTTGCCCGCTACATCGTACACCGTTATCTCCGGCGTAGTCGCCGTAGTCTTTTGTGGCGAAGCGCTGATAGTGCTGGTGCCGGATCCAGTTTGCGGAATCAGATGCAATGCGTCAATGGCCACATCAGGTTTTGAATTTAAATTCATGTCGTTATGTCTCATCTTGGATAATTCCTCGTTCACGTTGGTCTCACAAACACCACCGTCCACGACGTTAGTATTTTTCACACCCATAATAATACCAATCAATGGTGTATAAGCTTCCATTAAATGCTTGTCGTGACTGAAATTCGCTGGCTTCTCGACGGGTACGTGTGTCATTTCAATATCCTCGCTACTGCTGCTGCTATTGCTATTACTCTTGTCTTCTGCATTACCTGAGATATTTCTGTTGCCGACAGTAAAGATCGGCTTTGTTATGTTCTCCGTCTGTCTGTTACTTACACTCTTCGCTAAATCAATTGGCTTCCTTGCGCCGAAACTCAGTTTATTCAATTTGCTGAATTGCTCCGACATATTGGTTAAAGCTTTTGTACCTAGGAGTATGCTTTTTATAAATATTTTATTCATGTATATGTGTATATAAATAGTAGAGATAATTTAACAACAAACCTGCTGTCTTTAAAGCAAGCAATTGAGTCTCAGATACGTTTCTTGTTAGTTCTGGAAATGATGAAATATCCAACAATCCGGTGGAGCCTTTAACATTCACTAATTTACTCTTTCTTTTATCTAACATAACATTCATGGCTATGGGAACCTTTGGCAAGTTTGCTATCTCCATGGCTACTGAAATGGCTTCACAGATTGCCTTTAAAGATTCTGTAATTTCAAGAATTTTGGGTGTAAAATTTGTTCAGAATTGTTACGATATAGATATAAATAAAGATGTTTTCTCACCTATGCTTTCCTCCTCAGTTTTAATCACAACCGCCATGTTATTAAAAAACCTTAAATTCGTACTACGAAACATGTGAAAGTAACCGTACTCGCTGTTTACTTTATAATTGATTCTAATACAGTGATAATGTTTATTCTTCATGAAAAATGAGACCATATTTTCAGGTTGACCGAATTCAATTAAGACGATATCATCCAGTAAGACTCTTTGGTAGTTTGTAACTTTATCGATTTGATCGTCGTAGTCGGCAATATAATAGCTATCTCGGGTCAATATCAAAATAGTATCCATTTCCGTCTCCGTTGGATCGCCAGTACTGAAATAAGAAATTTAATTGACAAACAAATTCACAAACAGACGCAGCATAAATGTATTATGAGAAACATTACAATTTAAATTATTCATACGTACACAGGATCGGCATCGATAACTCCCCAACTGCCTAGAATAATTTCCGGGTCAGGTATCAGTAATTTTTTGCAGTCTTCAATCAGCAATTTCACGTGAATCGCAGTTGCCGCGTTGTCTTCCTCGTCCGTGCGTTCTAGGAATACTTCTTCGCTTACTGAATTACCCAACATTATATCAATCGTCGCTTGTCTGTAGACATCCTTGAAACGATTCAAGTAATATCTGCAAAAACATTTTAATTCTCAATGCAAAATGTTGAATTCACTATGCTGAAAATTCAAGAATGATTCAGATGCAGAGTAGCATTGAGAAAATATTCTATTCAAAGTGTATAATAAATCGTATTATATATAAAAGAAATCGAATATTTAAATGAGAAAGCGGCTTATCTTATATCTAATTTATTAGCTAATAGCATTTACAAAAATCTGATTGACTTATGAATCAAATTAAAATATTAAAATAAAGGAAGAACATAAGATCAAAATTAAAGGAAGAATATAAGATTGAAATTAAACATGCATAAGGATTTTGATAGCATAACAAAAACAACTTCTCATGCTGACAATAGTATAGAGCATCTCTTTTTTACGCCACGTAATTTAATAATGTAATAAAGTAACAAGTAATTAAATTATCTTTAGAAATACATAGCTGATGTATATTTCTCAAAAATCAAGCTAAAAGCAAGCGACGAACCTTGCTAAATTATATAGAGCAGTGGCATAAAGGAAGTCAGGATGAGTAGCAAGTTGAAGTTGTATATTTGGTGGTTTCATAGGTATAAGTTCGAGACAACAATTATCAAGGATATCTAAATAGTGTGACCAATCGTTGTTCAGTTGGTGAACATCAATCGAGTTCCCTAGCAGCGTATCTATCGCCGCCTGACGTAAGTCATCCATAAAGTGTTGCTGATAGTATCTATAGGAAAATGAAAGGACCAATGTCAGGGTTCTATACAATAACATTGAGATATGTAACTCTGGGATATTATCTTCAAGGCATGATAACTGTGAAGGTTCGTGTAACGTGAGATGTTGGAAATAAAAGAGGAAAAACGATGAAAAGTGAACAAAATTAAGCGAATACAAAATGTGAAAGATAGGAGTACGAAAGTCTACCTGTTTGCGGAATTCATGCCGTCTTTCATCAGTCCGGTAAATTTTCTCTCCCCAGTACGCGTATAATCTCCCTATAAATAGTAAAGAAATCGTGTAGAAATCATTTAGAAACTATTTATATTAAGACAGACTTCGCACGGGCAATTTGTGAGACGTACAGACCTTTAAAGCATTTGTTCCCGCATATTGCTTGCTAATAATGTCTCCATTATTAGCCCAAAGCGATTGGAAAGTCTGTATTATGTTTGCAGGCAGAATTCCGTCAGGTGGTATTAGTCCCAATTTTGAAAACTGCATTTCCATAACAGCTTTACCCAGAGCGGTTTGCACCACGTTTGTTCTATCTAAGCAATCTATGCAATTCACACGGAATACGCCCTTTTGCATGCAAATCATACCTTGTTTATCGCGCCAGCAGTAACCCATGTCTGCTAGCATTGTAGCCAATGCATTAACCAGAATAGTTACGTTCTCAAAATGCATTCCTCGACTGTGTTAAACATAAAATTACCAAGATAAACGTGAGTAATGAGGATGAGAAGCACGAGATTAAGCAATTACACTATGCTTAGATACTTACCAATACTCGTGGAAATCGAAAGTGGTGTACGTTATATCTGAATTATTATAATTAAATACATGGTTGCTATAAGCTTCCCAAATAATCCTTTCTTTGCCAGACTGTTCGACCAGATTAACAATGCAAATAGGCCCGTACAAAGTAAGCTCTTCACCAAAATGCTTTTCAAATGCTACCTGCGTTTCAGCCTCGTCTGTAATATCATTACATGAGATTATTAGTCTATTAAAATAATCTAGTCTAGTTCACGTAAATGATCTTTTATTTTTTTTTGCTTATACCCTTATCAATCCGTGGTGGAGGTTTATATTTGTACCCAGGTTGAGACCAATATACTGGCACACTTCCTCGTACTTGCACAAAGGATACTTGATGATCATGATACCAAACTAATTGTTCAGTCTCAACGTAATTTGCACACTTGCCATCATCATCCACTCCGCGTCTCTTATACCTGTGTGATTACAGTTAGAAATATTTTTTAATCTTAATATGTTTAATTTTTGGTAAGATAAAATAATTATGACCATGTAATTATAAAAACCATTTATGTAAATAAAAGTTACCTAGTTCCAGCACGGAACCTACTCCTCCTTGATATAATCGCCAGATTAAATATCTCTTGTTGTGGTTGTTCATCAAAACCTACCTCCACTATACATTTTTCTATCTGAACATATCCTTGAATGATCGGTAGTATCCAGCAGTTTGCTTTATCCGTCTGCAGAATAAGACATAAGCAAATGTTATACAAAGGAATGTAAATTTTGAATGGTCACTGAATATTGTCATTATATAGCTGGCTTCAAATAATATATCCACTTAATAATTATTAAGCAAATAAAAATAATTCTTATGTAATAAATTTTATGAATATACATATAACAACATCATAAGATATCTATCTGGGCATCACAAAATATAATCTTTGTCATCTTAAGCCCCTTACACAATGCTAGGCGATAGCGATAGCGATAGCGATAGAGACAAAAGGTGCTTTCCATTTACATCAAAACTCAGATAATTCTCACTTGTGATGTTGTTCTATCCTTTTTGGCAATTAATGAAGAATAAAGACAGAATGACGTCACAAGTGAGAATTATCTGAGTTTTGATGTAAATAGAAAGCATCTAAAATTTTGCCAACAAAGCTACAGCATTGATAAGCTTCCGATAGGTTAAAAATTTTGTTGCTATTCATACTATCGCTATTGTCTAGCATTGTGTAAGGAGTTTTATTATCTGGAGTCAGCTGTATATAAAAATAATGATTTAAAAAATTACTAACATTTAGATTAATAATATCATATAACATGTATTTGTTCCAAAAAAATCTGTCATCGACACGTTGCCACAATGGCTTATCTTGATTGTCCTGTCCATGCTGAGATTCCAATACGCATTGTCGCTGCAAGCTATTAGTAATATCACCAGTCTGACAGAAGAAGAATGAATCAGTTTCGGTAAATATCTTATTCAGTTCTTCCAATATTCTCTTCTCAAATCTGTCTTTGTCCTTCACTACACCTCGTTTTGTCACTGTGGACTTCATCTAAAGAAATATTGAGCTTGTAAAAATTCTACGAGACACCAAATATGGATTTATACGGATGTCAATGGAGCTTCAGGTTCCTTACTTGAGATGTAGCCAATGCGGCAGTAGTATTTTTTATGGTATTTGTGGCGTTCTTGATCGTACCCCAGGTCTTCGCCAGAGCTGCTTTCTGCGGTACGTCAAACAGTCCGCTGCTCCCTTTCTTCTTCAACACATACTGATGTTTCTTGCAGGGCAGCAAGCCAATATCCGTATTCTCCGTGCCAATGTGTAGAAACGCGATGGACTTGATTTTGTAAACAACACGACCACCGTGCAACTCTCCCGCTGGCGTGATATCCTTTATGAGCATCAAGCGAGGTTCCAGTACCGATGTCTGTTCAATTTTCCCCACTATTCCATAAAACATTCCCAGACATTCTAAATCCTTCGGCGTAGCCCATTCCCAATCTGCAAAACCCATTGAAATAATTAAATGTTGCTGTCACACAAGTGTCAGACTCCAAATACAACATTCCTTCATCTTTTATTGGAGGCACTATGTCATTCACATAAACCTTTATACTGACATAATGCACATGTTCGCACTTGAAATGGAACTGATTCGCGTTCTCAACACTCGACACGCGACACCGAGATCGCTTTTCGCAAGCGACGCTTTCGTACCCGCTCACATGACAAATGTGCAATTGTACGCGCACCCACCTGATTTCGCGGCGAATTCGCCGGTATACTTGTCGCACCAGAGGCTGTGCCTCTCTTTCACGAAGATAAAATGGGTGTCAGTGCGGAACAGCTCCATCCTTCTGCTTCCCGAGCGAGTTTGACAGCTACGGGCAGCATGTATGACGTTTCCGCGTCCAGCAAATTATTCCGCCTACCACCGAGCGTTCGCCATGTTGCTCATGACTAACACACTACTGCTCATGTCAGTCGCAGAGGTGCCATTACCAATGTGCCACCAGGCCCGCAGGCAGCGGGCAAAACAGCACCATTGGCACCTCTAGGCCTCTAGTCAGTCGATCATGCTTCTCTCGTATGTGTATAAGAGGCGACGACGACGAGCGATCGACGAGGAGAAAGAGAGAGATGCGACCTATGACGCGAATCAATTCTATTATTCCTCAATGGGCATGACGATGAGACGGCCCAGTCGCTCGATATTCCGGCGAAGTGCTTTCTCGATTCGTATGATTCGATATAGAGAGTCGTTCTTGATGACCTGATTGGTAGTATTCCTTTTTGTGCATTTATTAATAAATACTTTTTCTAGCGCGATACTTTTAGAGAAAGGGATGAATGCGCGTTTCTTGGACAGATTTTATGTTTAGTTAGAAACTTATTTATCTAAACTTTATATAAAATATATAGTAATTTTTTATAGAAGCCAATTTTTTGAAATCTTTACTTCCTTGTGCATAAATATAATATTATAGCTATATCTTCTATCAGCAATCTTTTTCAAAATTGCATTCAAAATTCTGAAAACACACGGAAAGAAAATGAAGTTGCTTCAATTAAACGTCGACGTCACGGGCTGCTACAAGCATATGTAGTTAATTCAACTGGATATTATTGGACCAAATATTCAAATTATTAAAACAATTATCTGATGTTTATTGTTCATTAATATAATTGATGTTGCGTCAATAAATTTTATCTCAATAACACTGATGCTGTTGATACATCATTTTTTTCCGTGTATATATATATATATATATACGGTGCATATATATATATATATATATATATATATATATATATATATATGTAAGAATATGCGAATTTAGTGAGAAAAACAAATTAAACTTATCCAAGCAGAAACTATATATTCGTACAAGTTTTGGGAGAAAAAAAAAATTGTAAATATATTTCAAATAATATATATTTATCGTGTTTAGCAGATAAAAAGTTTTGAAGGTGGACAAAATTAAATCAAATTTTCGGATAAAATTAGCTTTATTAAAATCGTTATGTGAACTTCTCATATTTTACATTCTTCCGTAATACTTTAAATTGGTATGAAAAATGGAAACAGTATCTTATTTAACAATTGATTAACTCCCTAAATAAAAGTTCGTCAACGTATTTAGTGTATATAGATAGATATTGCAGTCTGCATAATTTAATGCATTTATTATATATTAATGGCTGAAATATGCTGCACGAAACCCACGCAGTGCGCCCACGTAAATGTAAATATGAACAATTAAACCGTTTCATGTCATATGAAATTAAAAGTTTTGCCGACATCTCGTGCCGCGTGTTGCAAAACGCAAATATAACAAAAAAAAATACATATAGGAAACTTTATAAACGTGATGCACAGCACGTGGATCTACTCAAATACGTTACATGATTGCGCTCGTGCATTTTATTTAAAAGGCTCTTATATACGTATACACAACCAACCAATAAATACATCACAAATTACATAGAATAAGAAACATGTGAAAATATTGTATGTCTTCAGAAAAGTCAATATCACACGCATTACAAATTTTCATGCAGTGCGAAGGAAACTGACGCTAAGTTAATCTCGTTATTCCTATCCAACGTATGTAGAACAGCCTTGTTTTTCTCAGTCATGATTTTAAAATAACTGACAAATGCATGCCCTTCATGCATTTCATTTTATCATATAAAAATCTTGAAGTCACTCTGTATGCCTCCCGTCAATCAATATCATTCCCCTTCAATCGATCGACTACCTTCGTCGAATTGGCAAGAAGAAACAATTTCGTTAAAATTTAACTTTTCTCACTGCTACTAGTCTGTTCATTGCTTTGGCCGCTCTTTTTCGGCTTGTACTCCTCCCATTTTCTATGGTTAAGTGTTTGAAAGTCATCGACGTCAGCTATCATATCCAGATATCTCGACAGCTTCAGCAGCTCGAAATCTTTGACTCTGCTGGTGTGAGCGTGTTTGAAGGGTTTTATCCTCAATCCCGATTGCGGATTCATTATAAAATTTCGTCTGATGTCGTCGAACATTATTGTATTCTTCGCGGAGAACTGCTTGTACTTTCCCCAGATAATGCCAAGCGGTTTTACCCCGACAACGCCGTATTTCGGTGTGTGAACGGTGATCATAGCGAGGACGTCCAGGTGAAAGGCTATTTTGTAGTTCGGATGATTCGAAACTCCCAGCAGCTTCATCTTCTCGTTGATCCATCTCATGCTAGTCGCCGACCAGATGACTATGTCGTAATTTTTATAAGCGCGCGTCAAAAATTCATGAAGATACGGACGCATCAGCTGCGAGCCGCTCTCTGCCACTGATCTGTGATCGAACAAAGTGTAATCTATGTCCAGCACAAGGAGCTTCTTACCCTCCCTTAGAGGATTCAGCTCTGTGATCACGTAGCGGTCGATTCGTATCTGAATTTTACGTAGATTTATCTCAGCCTTCTCGATTTCTACCTCCTCCTCCTCTATGTCGAGATCGTTGATCACATCAGGTACGTTCTCGGGTGCTTGACTGACCTCAGCGATATCCTCCTCGCGCGAGCCCATTAACATCAGTTTGAAACCAGGCTTCAGATTTAATTTGCCGATTATGTCCTCATCTTGCGCTGCCTTGCCTAATAAAGTAAAAGTTTTTATAGTTTTTTTTTTTAGAACCCTTGTGTATTTAACTGTATATATATTATAAAGTTTTATACTGCTTTTCGAGAATAAAAACAATCAATGAATAGAAATTAAAAAAGTTATTTCAAAAACCATTAGATTTAACATAATCTAATATGCTCTAGGAGCTATCTATCGTTTTTTCCATTTTCATGTATAGGTGTAGGAAAGTAAAGAAATTATTTTAAGAATCATAAATAATATTTACACATATATAATACACATACATACACACACATATATATATATATATATGTATATACTTGTATTTTATATGTTACACATATATATTATTGTACATATTCGTGTATGCCTATGTAATACATAAAATACAAGTTAAACAATTTCAGAAAAATATGATAATTAGTAGCAAGACATTCTTCACTTCTCTCAAGACGATAGACTTCAAACTAAATGATTAAAATTGCGACAATAATCATTTATCTGATGAAACTGATCAAAAAAACAGTTCAAAACATAACCTTTAAACTTTAGATTCAGCAGCTTCTGTCGCTCCGGACGAACACCCGTTTCCTTGTGTATACGCTCTTTTAGAGTAAGAACCGTGTCTTCCACTTGAATATCGAGGATATCGTATTCCTTTCCGCTCCATTTCACCACAATTCTTAATTCACCCTCCATCCTCTCGTTTTTCCAATCGTATCAATGGAACGCGTGCATCGCGATAGAAAAGAAACCTTCAGATACTCTCGCGAGTGACGAGTGACCGGAGTGACGCGGTCTCGCGACTGTATTATCGATAACGTCGAGTCTGATTTAAAAAATATATTTTTCAATATTTGATCACACGAACGTCTTATTGCTAAAAATGATAAAAAATATAGTAGTAAGATAGTACATACATTGCTTCTAAAACGTTGTGATTTATCGAAATCACAGACGAGGTAATGAATATTGCGAGACTAGCAAGACGTACCGTAACAAGTATATGAGCAGTGCATCCACTTTAGAAAGAGAGAAGAGGTTCACTAATTTACAGGATTCAATGGGTGAGAATAATTTTTTATTTAGAGAACTGTGGGATATAAGTATAAAGTGCGACGATAACACAAACAAAAATAAACTGTGATAATTAAATTTTATTATATGATTATATGCATAAAACTTAATTATTATTATAAATATATAAAATTTAATATTCTTAAATTTTTAATGATTTTTTTGATAGTTTATAATATAATCATTGCATGTAGGGAAGTGGTGCGTTCCTGAAGCAAAAATTAAAAATTTGCGCTAATTAATAATAAGGATTACAAAGAGAAATATATAATATAATATACTTATATATAAGATAATAAAATTATAACAATAAATCAATGTAAAGGTAATAAAAAGATAAAAGATAAATTGTGCGTTTTGTGCCAAAATGTACAAGTGCGAGGACATCTTTAAGATAAAAAATTGATCGATTGTTAATAAACTATTATTCTATTAATGTAATGGATCTTAATTAAAGCTTGTCCTCGCACTTGTATATTTTGGCACAAAACACAGGGACAATTATTAGGAATTTTTATTACATGTATACAAGTACTCGAGGAGATACTTTGGTTCAAACGGAGCATTTCGAAGTTCCGACTGTTAACAATCTATAATTTATTCTTACAGTTAGAATTCTTAGAGAGTGTCCTCGCATTTGTATATTTTACCCCAAGACACAGGAATTATCATTTTCGTGAAAATTTTATTATATGACCTCTTTTATCTTTTGTTTATTTATTTACATTTTTTTTGTAATATTTTTTGTTTTATACATATATATATGTATATATTTCTTTTGTAATGTTTTTTAAAATTAGATCATATATTTGTAATTTTTGCTCCAGGAACGCTTCAAACTTTTAGCTACACATATAATCGTATTTGTCAGAAACGAGTAACTTTATAAAAACATGTCAACAACGTGAGCGAAATGATTTTGTAATAAGGATACATTGACGAATATTTATTTTATTATTGTCAAAATGTTTAAAGTACATATATAAAATTTGCTCAATCTAATTAAACTGAATTAATTAAATAATTTAAATTAGTCTGCGAAATGTCTGATGTTAATACTGCACTTGAATCATATAAAAGAAGGAAATAATAGAAACAATACACACATATGAAAATGTAAGTGTATATATCTCTATTTCTTGCGCTACCGCCTAGTTCTGTAAACGTTAACGATATCGTTGCGTGCTTTTCTATGGTAGGTATATTATATATTATATTATATCTGCGCAAAACAGTAATGATGTCGTTAACATTTACAGAATAGGCCCCTTAATGATCAGTTTAAAGAAAGTTTATATACTACTTAAGTACTCCAACATGAGACTTGCACTATGATAAAAATATTATTTAAATGGGGATGTGACGGTAGCTCAGGTCATAGCATTTACAAGCAAAAATGTTTTTCAGTTGCAGAACAAAAAATTGATGAGAACTTATTTATAATATCTTTAGTGCCGCTACAATTATTTGCCGAAGGAGAAAATGCAAAATTAATTTTATGGAATAACCCACGACCAGGATGAACAAAATACTGTCGACCAATTAAATTAATTATAAAAAAAGAATCGACTGATATAATAAAACAAGAAATAGCAATTATTGAAGAACAACTTCAGTCACTTGTTCCAATTATTATTAAAATTGAAGAAAAAAAATTCGCAATAGAATATGTATTATTGCTGACAATGGTAGATGGGAACATCTGTAATGCATTAACAAATGTATCGTCACAAAAATGTTATGTTTGCGGAGCTACTCCAAAAATGATGAACGATATTGAGAAAGCATCAGTAGTTAATGTTGATATTACAACATTCAGTTTTGGATTGTCGATTCACTTTGCATGCTTGGATTCGGTGTTTTGAATGTCTCTTGCACATTGCTTATCGTTTAGATATAAAAAATGGCAAGTTAAAGGAAATGAAAAAAAGGAGGTAGAACTGCGTAAAAAACAAATTCAAGATCGTTTATATTCTGAAATGGGTTTGTTAGTAGACATACCAAAACCTTCAGCTGATACTACCAATGATGGCAATACATCACGTCGTTTTTTTGAAAAACCAGATTTGGGCGCTGAAATTACTGGAATTGATGAAGAACTTATATTACGATTCTCAGTAATTTTAAGAACAATGTCTAGTGGATACGCAATAAATCCTGAAGCGTTTGGAATATATACTCGAGAAACAACAGAATTATACGTCAAATTATTCCATGGTTTTATAGAGAAGGACACTTGAAAAATATCTCGAGATAAAACTATGAAAGATTTACTTCATATATAATAAATATAGTCTCTGCCAATTTAATAATAATTGTTAATTTTGACACCATATTTAGAATTTATTATAAATATTCCATTAAAAAAGTACCGTGCAAAATTAATTAATAATAGGTAAATACAAAAGATTAATGTATATATGTATATATAAAACATAAATCTTTTAAATTATTTTGCAAACATACTTTATAATTTGATAAAATAATATAATCACATATAAACTTATATAGTCATATAAGATTATATATGATCAGATCATAGTTGCATCTCAAAGTATCCGATAGATGGCATCCGACGGAATATGATTCTCGTATTTAAAATTTGATGAACAGTGGTATAAGAACGGTATCAGACACGGCAGTGTCGTGCTAAGTTGCGCCAAGTTATATAAATCGTGGAATGGCACAACTTTTGTATTGTAAAGTCCACTTTTATAATAAAGTGACACATTTAAAAAATAACATTTGAAAACAACAATTTTCTGCAGTGGATGGACACCGGATCGGATCAGATCTACTCATGTCTGATTGGATCTGATCAGATAGGGCCAATATTTTGATCAAACCAGATCTGAGTGGATTGGATCTGATGAGATCTGCTCAAATCTGTTCAGATCTCTTCCATTTTTTCCCGGGACAGAATATCCCAAACCATTATATATATTTCTTTAATAACAACATTTTTAACCAATTTAGAATCAACTTTTTTCTAGCAAAAATGCTGACAAACATCATCATTTATTGTAATTTTCTAATTTCTAGCATTATAATATATATATGTCTTTACGTTTTCAATCAAACTCCTCTTATATTAAACTCCATTTGAAATTAACTGAAAAATGTAGTTTTGTTTATATCTATTTGGCTTTCCGAAATTTAAGTCGACAAATACTCTTCGAGTACAGTTAAAAAAGTTGTCTCTAAAGTGATTAATACATTTTTTATTAAAAGTATATCCAATATATATAATTTTTTAAATACTCTGTACATATATACGCTTTATTTCTAAAGTTTTAAATGCTACGATGATGCATCGGAAACATGATTCTCTTTCCACGGTGCAAAGGAAGGTCCTGGTATATCTTCGCACGATATTATAGGATTGTCGGGACCAACAGAACGCATAACTCTCATCTGAGCGTGCGTGATTGCGTCAGAACAATCGCATATTAACTTTGCCAGCGAACTCTTGCGTATCTCCACGAGCTGGCCTGAAATTCGTATAAATATTACGGTTTTTATTGCGTTTATATTTCCATTTAATATTAAAGATTTTGACACAATAAAAATGTTCTATAAATATCAAAAACTTATAGCAAACTAATATATATAGAAAAGCACATTTCTTAAAAATATATATCTACATCTTTTTTCTTTAAATCGAGGCTGTGACAATTAAAGACTATAGTTTGTTGTCCTGTGAAATAATTAAATTCTGCATATTTTAGACTTTAGAAAATAATAAAAATATAAAATTTTAATTTAATTTTATATCAAACTAAAACTCTACGCAAAAGATAACAAATATGGTTATAAAAAAAAGATTTTAATTAAAATCTAAAATCTTTTTAGATGAATGATAGGACAATAAGACTGTAGGAACTTATATGTTTGAAATTTACAAATGCATAAATTACTTATTTTTTGCAAAATTAAAAGATAGTTGATAAATTCGTTGATAAATTCCTATACTGAAATTTTATTATTTGTTGGTGTACTTTTAAAAATAGTCTTTATATGTATCGTTTATTGACTTTCCTCAGGGTTGCAAGGCGTTTTGGAGGAACGTTCCCAACCCTTAATTTAAAAAAAAAAATAGTCTTTATAGTTGCTACAAATATAAACTAGAGAAATTTATCGTACCTTCTGTAAAAGGATATGGTTGTTCAGCAAACTCGTACCAAAAACGATCTCCCTTTTGCAAACGCGCGAACTGATCAAGTATTAAACACGTAAACGTGGGCCCGATCAAGCTGTCCGACTCCGGTATTTCCGCCAATGCGCCGGTATACAAATCTACGTCGTCGACAGTCTCGTAGAGCATCGATATCTGTTCCAGTACTTGAGGGTCCAGGTGGCCCTCGAGGTCGCTGAAATTCCCCACCTTTCCTAGATCACAATATTCCCGCCACATAGGGTATCCCGGTAATCCATGATCCCGTCCTCGTTGGATGTTCAACGATACCAGATCAAGGCCGCATGGTACCGTAGAATTGTCCATGGGGTCTTCAAAGAGATGACTTGTCAGCTGCGAAGTTACGTGCGTGGAGTACCTCTGAATAACGTTGGTCGTGGCCGAGGTAACCGAACGTCTGACGCCGTCGGCGGCGTAGAGACTGTACGGATTGAAGAGCATTTTGTGCAGCTCCATATAGGACGACGTGCCTTTCTCGGCATCCGTCATTCTCATCAACCCCGGTAGCAAGGTGTGAGCGAAACGGAATGCCGCGGCCGCGAAGTGATTGGCGATCGTCGGATCATTCTCCGGCTCGTCCGGATCGTGCGTTTGTTTCTTGTAGCCCGACTCGAGGGGGTCCAAGTCGTGCTCGTTCATTCTCTCGTCGCCTACGATAACGGGCAGAAATTCGCGATAAGTGACGTGCTGCAATTGAGCGCCGACAATACGCCGCGTTTCCTGATAGAGCGTCTCGTCGCTCCAAGAGGGATTGATCTTGGCCAATTCGTTCGCGATCCTGTTGTGCTGTCGCGCCCAGAGAAGGTGCATCGTGGTCAGGTGTAGATTCTCGTTCGCCCTGGCGTCGCCCGCGGCGAAGCAATAGCGACCCCGGCGTCGCTCAGCTTCCCGATTGCAACCGTCATTGGGATTCGTGCTGGGTGGTAGCAGAGTCCTGTTGTCGGGAGTGAACTGCATCCTCAAACGACCACCGGTGAACTCGCGCAGGTCGCGAGCGGTCTCATTGTCGGAGCCGTAAATAGCCGAGCCGTCGATGAAGGCGCTGACCTGGACGCAACGGATTATCTACAAAATCTTTCAGTCTGGATTGCCTTTGACAAGTTATGTTCAAATCTATGTTCGACAGAAATCTTCCAGTTTCATAAATTTTACACATCTATGAAAATCCGTTTTTTTCGGAAAGAGTTACTGATCTGTTACAATTAGTTATGTTTTAGAGTTGGAAGTAAAAGGAAAGACGAGCTCATTATTTCAATCAAAAGTTTAATGAAATTCGAGTAACATAATGGAAACATACATGTTATCATCTTTTTAGAAAAGGCGATCCGCATTACGTCGTAAATAGATTATAACGAACGCGATTACCTGATTGAGCTGTTCTCTGGGACCAAGTTTGCATCGCGGGGCCGGCGCCGATCTCACAAAGTCCATGCAGGTCCTGCCAGTCAGATCGTGCACAGGATCGCCGGCGTTTACTCGCACGGGAAAACACTCGGGATGTTGTCTTCCCAACGGCGGGCAGCACGCTATCGAACTTCCGTTGACACCCTGACTGAGCGCAGTCGCGGTGATGTCGTGGTCCAGAAACTGACCGAACACCGCCAGCATCACCGTGAAGGACGGGTTGCTGCTAGCCGAAGGTTTATGCACCTTCAGACTGACTTCCCTAGCAGAAGGCAAGTCCTTCCCGGATCGTGCCTTTCGAGGCGACTCGATTCCATCGGCGTAATCGGGTGATAAGGTTCTTCGAAAAGGCATCATACTGCTGCCCCATCCTCTCGGCCGATTGCAGCTGCCATCGATAGTTCGGTACTTGCCGATTTTGCAGGTGTGATTGAAGTATCGTTTGCATATATTTTTCGGTAACCAGCCGCTATCGAAGAAGGTATCAATCGCCGACGGTTCATCATGGATGGACCTCAAATAGAAAAATATCAGTAAAATCCTAAGTAAAGGCTAGCTATAAACAACTTTATATGATTATATGTATTATATTATAACAACTTTATATGATAATTTCGATCATTAATAAATAAATATTAGTCCCAAAAAATAAAGTTTAGACGATCTACTGGTTGACAATTGAGAAGTTGCTGAAATTAGATATTTGTTATTTTGTAATAAGTGGACAAAAGAAATTAATTAAATACTATACTATAAAAAAAAACTTATTTTTATTAGCACATAATGCCGAGAAAATATACATTTATAAATTTGTACTTAAAAATAAATATTATAAGAAAAATATCAACATTTGTTGCATGGTTCAATGATTTCGATGAAATAATGACCATCTAAACTTGCACTAAAATTGAGGAGCTTTTGAAAACTATTAAATACGCTTCTAACATTAACTGCGCTTTCAAAAAGAAATCTATCCTTCTATCTAGACTCTAGAATTCCTTACATCGAAATAGTCTCACTCACATGCCAAATCTAAACATAACATAAGAATCATTATACCATGCAACCAACTAAATGTGCGTCCTGATTTTTTAAACTCTTCTTTTTATATAAAAAAAAATAAAATTATAAATAATATTAAATATAATTAATATTAATATTTAATAACATTATATCTTAAATTCTGATGTGGATTATAGATCGTCTCTAAAGCAGTTTTAATAGTTTAAATTATAACTATATAAGGTGTTGGGTAATACTTTTTTTTAAAAAGTCAAGTTCTACGTCGTATTTATGACATACATACAGAACAAGACCAAATCTCACCTCATTTTCTCGATTATTCTCGTTGCCGCGATTTCACCTACCGCTGCTAAAGCAAGAGCGCTAACGTTGGAGCACGTGCTCACTGCGTGGCGATGCCTGGATTCAGGGGATGGAGACGGTAACGGTGACTTCGCGGCGATCATATCTGCGGATAGACGATCCTTCATCGCCTGTTTGCCAGCTCGCAATCCCTGCGTGTATTCTAGCTGGCTGAGATGTTTCGTCGGAGTGTCGATGTCCTCATTAGATATTAGGACGGAATTGGGCTCGGCTGTGGCACTAGCGGTACTGCTGAAGGCCGCGTGCGAGGTGGACTCAGGTGCCAGTCCTAATCTCAAGGTGCTACCTAGGTTGCCGGGGGACGTTGCGTTGTCGATCGCGGGATTAGTGGAGTTGGTATGGCTCATAGAATAGCTGATGGACACCACCAAAGCCATGGTGAAAACCACTCTAAAATCGTAGAGAATTGTATTAAAAAATCTAGTCGCTCAGCGATCTCAATCTCTCTAATGTGTGATATTTTCGGCATAAAATTTGCTGTTATTTAACATTAGGTCAAATTCTTCCGCTTACTGACAGGCGGCTCGATTTTAGAAATCTTACCCAGCTAGCAGAAAGTTCTAAAAACGTCTTAAAGATATCACAAAGACATTTAAAAGTCGACATCATTTTTCAGATGTGCTTTGGATGTCTTTTAAGCGTTTTTAAGATGTCTTTTAGAAGCTTCTGCTAGCTGGATGGTTGTTGAATTGAAGCTTGAACTATTTATTTCTGACTTTTGCACTTTTCCATTTTTTTTTTCCAAAACAGCAGGTTTGTTAATTTAGCTTCAGTTTTTGTAAAGTGTATACAATTTATTTCTATAATGTGTAGAATAAAATTTGGTGGTTTCGAAATTTGGAAATTTATATGAGAAATTATTTAATTTATTATTTCTTATCTTGTACACGATCCACACGAACTTACATCAGGATGCCGCAGACGCAGCATTGGAACTGTCGGAGCCGCGTTCTTCGGGTCCTCAAGAAGCTGGCGAACTCGATGTAATCGGGCGAATCCGCAGATCTCCTCAGAGGCGTTCTTTCCGTGATATTGCGCATTTTCGTCGCACAGAAATACGGCTAGATAATGTGCAGAATTCTACCTGCGGTAATAGACAGGCGAGGCTCCTTCTTGTTCGGTAATTTGATCTCCCTTATGTGACTCACCTTGCACGACTAACGCGTCTCTCGCATGAGTGATCGATACGTACAAATACCCGAGCTCTTCCGGTGCAGCATTTATAATAAATTGTTAATTAAGATCCCAGTGATTACACAACACACCGCACCGTCAAACTTTGCCCTCCTCTGTCGAAAAATTGTCAATGAGAAAAAACCGGAACGTTCAAAATAATTTTTAACCGAGACGCTCCTAAGGTTTTAACGAGACGCTGTCATTTACAAGATTTTATATGCGCACTTATGTATATGATTTTTGTTCTTCGTTGATGAAGAACGAATGGAGAAGAGAATATATCCAATAAAGTCTTCAAAGTGGATTACTTGGTTCACACGCAGACAACCTGATTACATAAGAGTGAAACATGAGTTGCCTCGCTACATTCTTATTTTGCGGTGAGACACGGCGGTGGCAACGAGTCTGCGTCTCGATATAGATCACACATATTGCAGAGATGATTTGTAACAATCACGTAACGAACACGTTATCCTGCCGCATACGAAAATACGACCGCGAATCGCAATGTAAGACAAACTGGAATAATAAGTCGTTTATTGTGCAATTGAATTTTGCTGTCACACAGACGTCGAAAAGTAACAAAGTTAAGGAATGTATCTACAGAAAGTTGCTTAAACTAAATAACTATTATTTTATAATTAATGGCCAGTAGTTAAACTACTCTATAGAAGAAACTCGTCATTTTTATTAACATATAGTGCAAAAAGATACATATTTGTGAACTTGTAAAAAAACATAAAGCCGAAAACTTGCGTGATGTTTCAGTGATGTGTGTTCGAAAGATCTCGGCATGAGCGATATAAATGCATGTTTTTGGAAACTATTAAATATACTTTCTATAACATTAATAATTAATGTGACTATATCTTCGAAAAGTTCCAAGTATAAAATGCTTTTCATTGAAATGCATTTATACCTGGAACTTTTTTAAGTATATTTAATAGTTTCTAAAAACACCTCAATCATATTATACAAATTCGGATGATCATCATCATTTCCAATACGTATATCACCGAGAATGAGTCGCGCAACCAGCCGAATTGCTAGGCTTTTTTTTATATTTATTTTTACAAATTTATATATGTGTACATTTCTTTTGCACTACACTGCACTAGCAAAAATAACGTGTTTTTTCTGCACTTTAACATTTGATTTATTTCATTCCGTTCACCTATTACACAAAAATAACAACCGATTGGTTTCAGCAATTTCCCAATTGTCATCCTGTATGCGTTTGTAACTTAACACTGTACTCTTGACATTACGTCAACGTTTGAGACTCTACATTGTTTAAAGTTTCTATCGAGATTGATGTTATTGTAATACCGTGGTGTTGACAATGAACGCCGACGTCTGACTGCTAGGGACGACGGACGATGCCGCGGTGCATGATGCTACGCATCTTGTATACGTACGTAATGTAATACGCCGTCGTATTATGAAAAGGCTTCCGCCCTTTGTTGGGTTTCTCAAGAACATAAATCTATATCGGCAACAAATGACCACAGTTTGTGCACATAATCACATAATGATTTTTTATTAACGAATATTGCATGAAATAATTTTCGGCACTATTTTCCATTTCTTTTCGTGAGTGATTTAGAGACACAAATTAATTTCTATTAATTAATAATAACGTGGATAAAATTAATAAGCATTACAAAATAAAATTGGTAAAAGTAAATAAAATTTGATTAATTTTTATAAATTATTGACTTCTTTTGTGATTTCACATACAATATGATAAGAAATATTTGTAATACATCGAGCTGCCGCATTCACCAACTTGTAAATGATTCTGGGAAAAGAAACGTGACAGTCAAAGTTCCGATTGACGATTCGCCGTTTACTTTCTTTATTCCATACAACAAAAATTGTATCGCTTAGGAGCGCGCAGTTCAAGCCACTGTTCTTGATTCGGAACGTACATCTCAGCTGGCATGCGTTCCAGACCTGGAGATTCGGGCGATCCACGCTCGTTCGTTCTTCGAGCTGAAACCGCGCAAAAAGCAGCAAAAAGGAGGCTTAACAATTAATCTCTCTTTGAAAGGAAGCGTCGCAGAGATGTGGATTTCCGTCATTAATAAAAAGAATTATCGATTTTTGAACAGTTCATGAATCTTCTCGTAATGTAACGAGGTGAAAGTACTCAGAAAAATACATTTCGACAATTTATCTGCGATAAAGCCTCTTTCACCGAAACTTGCAAAACACCTTTGAGAAGTACATATTCCAAAGAAATTTCATTATACTTGACTTACCCAATCGTTTGCGCATAGCGATAGCTTCGCCCGGATGCCTCAATAGAAGCCGACCAACGCCCTCGCAACGACGTAGGACCTCGTTCTTCAGCAAGTGATTTCTGACGTTTTGCGAGATGATCGAGCACTCGGTGACCCACGTCGATACGTACGCGAAATCCGTCAACAGTTGTTGCGCACCGTACTCGCTAGAAATTTATTTTAATGCGCAATAAGAATAAATAATAGAAGATATAGAAATGTTGGCAAACGTAAATTTCGCTTCTGCATACTATTCCTAAATCGTCTCACAATTAAATAGCTTTATTAGGACATATATCGAGCAAACGGGAAATTTACCTAAACTTGATGCGGTGCAGATAAATATAATCAAGCCACGCCTCACACATTATTCGTAGAATCATATTGGATGTTTCGTGGTCCTCTATCACTTCCAACACTGGCAGTAATACTTTTTCTACGACAATTTCAAGCATATTATTTCAAGATAATAATAGACAAATAATAGCAAAAACGTACCGAAATAAGTTTCTACATAAAGACTGGCCGTCATCGGAGATATGTCGTTGTTTCTTCTCCAATAACTTGGCTGTGGAAAGCACATGTGCAAATTCGCTAGGCTGATCACACGACAGATCTTGGCAAGCGTGTCGATGCACTTAGCAGGGCAGATCTGCAGAAATATAAAATCATCTGTAGTTTTATAAGCAACAGATTCGAGCTGAAAATTATCATTTGCGAAAGAATTATTTCCCGATTTTTGAACAATAGGGGTAAATAGTAGAGTTGTTGGCCACTTTAGAATGATTGGCCACAACTTAAAAAATTAAAGATTATAAAGAAATACTATTAAAATGTTTAAATAGTGTATTAAATATTTTTGTATTTATAATTAAAAACATTTTAATAGTATTCTTTAATTTTTTAAGATGTGACCAATCATTGTAGAGTGGCCAACAACTGTACTGTTTACCCCTATTAAATTTTTGCTTTGATAAAACCTCATTATCTTAAGAATATATATATATATATATATATATATAAAACAAATATAATTAAGGCATTATTCATACAAAAGATGTTGATAGAAATGAAAAATTATTAATTCAAGTTATATATGTACACTTAATTTATTCATCTGAGAGTTTTTACTTCGAAAATCTTCTTTTCCATTTATTTATCTGAAATCCAAACTCGTGTAACATACCTGAAGCAATTCAACGTTTGCTTTGACTTCGGAAACGATCTTTGCTCTCATCTTCGTGCACACGTACACTTGGACGCTAATAGAATTCATGGACAATGCGGTCGTGTGATCAGCAAGCTGAAATCAATCAATGAAAGCTAAATATAGTGCATTTTCTTTATAACAGAGATAAAAGAGTAGTACCTTGAGGTAAGACAGCTCTTCGAAACAGTTCACTACATCGCCCTTGACAAGAAGGAAGAATACATCCAGGTCCCAAGTGTGAGCTATAATCTTGGCCTCCTGAATGGCCCACAATCTCGCCGTATGCACCGAATGGTCCATCCTGTGCAACACGACGATCTGCTCCGACAATGGCAGTTCAACCAAAGGTGCTCCTATCACCCACTCGCCGCCCACCTCGCATTCGTTGCTGAGAGTGACCAGCAACTGGAACAGCTCGACGAACATTTGGCCGGTGTCGGTTCCCTACAAAAACAATTAATAACAATCACTTACCATCATCTATGTGGAAACTTGTTATTTCTCTTCTCTCTCTCTCTCTCTCTCTCTCTTCACTACAGATTTTTCTACTGTGAATCCTATACGTTTGTTAAATTAGTGCATTTTGTCAAACAGATATCCTCGAAATTTTAGATTGGAAGTTTCCTCCGTGGAGTACCAACCTCCGTGGACGACGGTTTCGAACGGCACTCGAAGGCCGAGGTGTAAGCTAATCTAAACATCTGGTCCCAAGCAATGACGGTGGTGTGATACCCGAGCGCGTCGCACAAAGTCTGCAGCGCTGATCTGACTGTAGGCGGGGCTGAAATTTTAAGGACGTACAATATTTTCTCTCCGAAGGATGGCATTTGTTAAAGATGAGAAGTGTCCTTTAAATAGAAAGACATTCTTACTATCGTTCCCCTGAATGAATTGCCGCAGCCAATCCTTGAGATGCTGAGCGCCGTGGCTGTGATGAGTCGCGAGTGCTTCGTGCGACCACCACAGTATCACATGATCTAAAATACTGGACAACGCGCCCCATGCTACCTCCTGATAGTAGTTCTTTACCTTCTTTACCGCGCTGCCTCTCAATCTTGTCTCGCCTAACAAGATTTTGTGTATCGCTTCAACTGTGATATTCTGTAATTTAACGCTAGAAGATGTAGTCTTCGAATCCATTCGGACTGTACCTTTACTGGTCTTTAAGGCGTCCGCGCCGAGCAATTGCGGTGATATTTCCTGCACAACATTTAAGAGTCTAAGGATCTGCTCGTTTTGCGTGTTCACAAGTGCCTGCACACTTTCGATATTGGATGCCTCCACTTCGGACAGCGATGTCGCACTCGTGATCGGTGGCGTTAAATGTCTCGTAAGAGCGCTGGAGTTTGAGACAACAAATATACCAAGATATATTTGATTAAATGGCAATTGTATTGTCCTGACAATAGTTGGATACAATATAAAAAAATATAGAAAAATATATATATAAAGGTTTACATATGTATTGCATGTAAGATCGTGCTTTAAAATGATAATAATATTGGTGGTGCAATTGTGATCGCAAACCGACCGATAAATTTCAATGCTAGAATTTTCTGAAACGTCCACGTCGTTCGTTGTAGACACAGGCTTGGTTTTCTCGTGGGGCTCGTAATTCGCCAGAAGACAGTCGATTAGTTCGTGACAGGATTCCTCCGCCCTGTTCTTCGCTAATATCTAAAATTATTAATATTGTAACGTTACGAAATGTGCTGTTAAATCCGTTTAACTTAAATTATGTTTATTAAAAGAAAATATCAATTCTAGATTGCCGAAAGCTGCAGCGACGAATAAGAAATGTTGGAACACTCGCTTGCAATATTTTCGTCACGGAGATTTTCTTCAAAGGCTCCAGCATGGATGGGCAATCGTTGTAAAAGACATTGACAGACGGATCCGACACGTCCGGATTCATGTCGAGGATTTTGTTGTAAGCATTTACCAATCTGCAATTTATCCATTATATTGTTACCTATTATCTGGCCTATTATTGGAGAAATTTAAATGTATATCTGGAAAAAATTCTATGAAAAGAAATTAATTTTCTAATGTTAAAAAGCAATTAAGATAATAAAGCTAAACAGAAGCAAACATAAAATATAATCAAAGTAGTAGAAAAGAATTGAATTTTTGTTTGACTTTTACCTGAACACTATTCTTATGTTCTCGTCATTTTTGCAATCAATAATGTCATTAATCAAATCTTGGATAAATTTCGCGATGATATTTAGTTTGCGCTTCAATACCATCGACAGATGATTTATCTTATATTTGTATATCGGATGATTGCTTAATTCCGCCGAATTGTACATCGATTTATAATTTTCTATTAATTCCTCCAGGCTATATGTTACTTCCTCGAAGACCTGTGAAATGTCCAAAGCAATTAATTGTCCGCATTTTAATTTTATTTTTTATATATACTAACAACAAAAAACATTTTTGCTGTAAATTTACATATATTCGATTTTTAACTCGTTTGATATGACATCAGAATTTTGGAGTATTTGCGAAATGTTACATTACGAATTTTTATTCTATTATGACTTAGATTTTCGAACTTGAAAAGGACTATAAACAATGATCGAAACGTCGTAATTATTACAATTAATAAATGTGGCCAGTTGGGTCGAGTAACAATTATTTTTGTTAATTATTTACTAGCGAAGATAAGTTTTCTGATTAGTTTAATTATCTTCCAACCTCCTGATCGCAAGTCCGAGCCTCCGTGGCGTCCTCGATGATTAAAGCTACGCATCCCGCAAGCTTTCCCATTCTCTCGTCTAAAAGAGAAGCGTCTACGAGCCATTTGTCGAGAGCACCGTCAGAAAGCGGCAGCCACTTTGCGATGTTTGCTCTGTAATTAGTATCCATGCGACGCGCTAATCAATCTATAATATCCTTTAATTATACTTATTCTCAATTAGCGTTCGAAAGGATTTTCTGTGGCATTCTGAGAATATTATCTTTGAATTAATCCTTCCTTTCACGAGACTGCAATTTTAATATTTATTTGAAAATGTATTTTAATATTTCAGATTAATTGTGAGTATAATTCAATATTTATTTATTTATTTATTTATTTATTTAACAGTGCACCCCTTGCTCTGAACGCGCTATTTTATTTCTACGCGACTGAGAGCTCTTGACTGACGAACTGATGGATTATTGCACATCACTTTCGCGAAATCACACTGGGCAGTGAAAATTAATTATATAATAATAATCAGTTGATTGTGTAAAAACTGGTAATTGGACACTGGTCGTAGAAAAACAGTTTTTAGACGATTGTATGATAACAGATATGATTATGCAGTTGGAATTATGTCGCCGTGCGATCGTTGCTTCGAAAAGATAGCTTTGTTCACGGTTTGCTCGACATTTTATTTTTTTTTAAAGATGGTATTAGCTATTGTCACTTTTAATGGGAATGGCAAGTGTTGCACCACGCGTTCCCAGTTGCCACGGATACGCCTGACGCATGGCAATAAGGGTATACATATAGCAGGACATGCATATATGTGTACTTGCAGCATATATACGGTCTACATAGTCTGTTTTCTTTAATTATTCAATTAGTTTTTAATTATTCCAAGTCTGTCTATATTTTTGTAAAATGCCGAAATTTAACAATGTCCTGTTGAATTTAATTTCAACAATTTCTGAAATGTCGAAATACAAAACAAACGTTGCGTTAAAAAATAAAAACATTGTACAGTTGCAAAATATACAAATCAAGAGACACAGTAGTATTAGGGAGTTTTTGGAATACCGTCTTTTAGATACGGTAACCGTATCTGAATTGTTCAGATACAGAGTGAATGTTTCTGAACAATTCAGACAACGTTTACCTGAAAGACGGTATTGCAAAAACTTCCTATTGTCTCGCGCCAAGTGTACGCGCAAAGCAAGACAACTAAAAGTTAAACGATAACAGCTAAACCGATGCGTTTCTGGGTGGGCTTAATAACCGATTCATTGGGTTCATATTAGGGGTATTCAAATAAGTTAGAGTTTAACGGTTTGACAGGTTATGTCGGGTTAAAGTCGGGTAAAAAGTTAATTTTTTAACTTTTAACCCAAAGATTAATGTGATAGGTTAATGAGTCACTTATGTATTTTGCATAACCTTAAAGAGTAGCGCGCCCAAAGTTAATTAATTAACTTTTTACTCGACTTTAACCCGACATAACCTGTCAAACCGTTAAACTTTAACTTATTTTAATACCACTATTATATCAAAAAACGTCTTCACTTTTACTCTGTGTCCTCTATGCTGAGATATTCCAGCTCAAAGTCCAAAATTGCCAAATTCTACAGAAACGGAAAAATTTTTAGCTGACATTTTTTTCGTTAGAAGTCATTATGAGACGCAACAGCGTTTCCAGCTGCACGGAATATAGATGTATATATAAATATCTATCTGTGAGAATTACAAAGCTTGTAAGTCTCTCTGTGCATTAATTTATTATTTATCACACATTTTTATATCATGTATTTGTATCTTATTAATGTTGACTTATCAATGTGCTCAAAGAGAATTCTTTTTCTTGTGTAAAAAATATTAACAGACTATAATTTCAATTACTTAAATTAATATATATATATATATATATATATATATATATATATATATATATATATATATTAATTATGGAAAGAAATGTACCGTACAATTTTGGTTACACTAATTTTTCTCTGGGCCTTATAGATTCGAATATATTTAAGGTGGAATAGTTATTGCCTCACCCTGTATATATATATATCTATACTATTATCTATACTATTATATAAAATTCTTACGGGTGGTGTATGTTTGAACGTTAATAACTTGAAAACTATTGGACCGAATTTTTACCACAAGTACATGAAATAGGGCTAGAATTTTCCGGGGAGTGCTATAGAGTGTGTATTTTTTTGTTACCGATTTTCTGGAAACCGATTTTTTTAATTTTTCTAATTCTTACGGGTAAAAGAATTAAAAAAATCGGTTTTCAGAAAATAGATAACGAAAAAGTATACACTCTATAGCACTCCCCGGAAAATTATACCCCTATTTTATATGGTTTTAATACAAATTCGGTCCAATAGTTTTTAAGTTAAAAACGTTCAAACATACACCACCCGTAAGAATTTTATATAATAGTATAGACTAGCTGGTTACCCGGGCTTCGCCCCGGAGGACATGTGTAATAATACACGCAAATAATCTCGCTCAATAGTCTCTCTCTCTCTCTCTCTCTCTCTCTCTCTCTCTCTCTCTCTCTCTCTCTCTCTCTCTCTCTCTCTCTCCCCCTCTCCCTCTCCCTCTCCCTCTCCCTCTCCCTCTCCCTCTTCGAGATTCGGTCAATTATTTCGCGTAAGAATTAAAAAAATTAGAAAAACCGGTTTCCAGAAAATCGGTAACGAAAAACTATACACTCTATAGCACTCCCCGGAAAATTTTACCCCTATTTTATATGGTTCTAATACAAATTCGGTCCAATAGTTTTTAAGTTAAAAACGTTCAAACATACACCACACCTAAAAATTAGAAAAATAAAAAAAAAACGTTATTAACTTAAAAACTATTGGACCGAATTTATATTAGAACCATATAAAATAGGGGTAGAATTTTCCGGCGAGTGCTATAGAGTGTATAGTTTTTCGTTATCCATTTTCTGGAAACCCATTTAAAAAAATTTTTAATTCTTACAAGTGTGGTGTATGTATATATATACATATATATATATATATACAGGGTGAGGCAATAACTATTCCACCTTAAATATATTCGAATCTATAAGGCCCAGAGAAAAATTAGTGTAACCAAAATTGTACGGTACATTTCTTTCCATAATATGATAGAGGAACTGAAAACAAGTTCAGAACTCAGAACAAATTATATACGAAATAATTCAGATTAATATTATATAATTGGATAAACACATTTATGATTGAAAAAAAATGCTTCAAAAAATTATGGTATACCGTATCGAACACTAAAAAGACGAATTAACAAAAATAATTTCGATAAAGGAGCCCTAGGTCAACCGGTTGCTCTCGTCAATCATGAGCTTGAACTAGTAGCTTACATACAGAAAATGGAGAGTACAGGATTTCCACCGACTGCAATGTACTGCTTTTTGAATAAAATAACTTTTAAAGTTAAATTACTATACATGTTTGTATGCGTGGCATATTACCCATATGGGTGGGTAATATGCCACTTTGCAACACTTTTGTATTTCTTTCTTTTTAATAGTAAACAATCAAAATATTTCATTAAAAAAAACCATATATAAATAACAGATAAAAGAAAAAAAAAGACCAGTATACAAAGATACCTCAAAAAGAAAGAGAAATAAGAAAAAAATCATATTTTTCTTAAGTGTGGCATATTCCCCCGAGTTATCTTAAACCTAAATATTTATTTTATACGCTATGAATAAGCTACGTACTTTAATATTTTGCAAAATTGTATTCTGGATAATTTAGACTACTTGTAGTACATAACACTATTAAAATACAAAGAAAGTAATAAAAACATCTTTTTACATGTTTTAAACAAAAATGTCTTAAATGTATACGAGGAAGACTAAAAAAAAAAGTAACTAAAAAAATTTTTTAAACATATAATTACAGTGTGTGTGTGTGTGTGTGTG